TAGTACGCATTCCATAAAATTTAACAGAAATAATTAAATCACCAATTTTGACTTTTGTACTAAAAGTTGATTGGTGTGAAGAGTATTCGCACTTTCATGCAATATTATCAAATCGAATACAAAATATTTGTAAGTATTTCATTTTAACAACATTTAATTACATTCATTTTTATTCATATATTCATTTTCTAATATAAATTTCTATTATTTTTTCAGGATATATCTTCCAAAAAAAGGTAATTTTTGAATAATATACACATTCTATCATATTTCAAACTATTGTTAGACAGATATTATATTTTAATTGTGTTGGTACAATTTTTTAACCTTTTTTAATTCACCCTTTTATTTTCATTTTTTCAATATTGTCAGCACCGTGCGTAGCACGGGTATTCACACTAGTTAAGAAACGTATTTATGATGCACCAAAATAATGACTATCCAAACAAGGCCAAATCTCTTCAAAGAATGTCTCTATTTAAGTTAACTTAATGATGAAACCTAGAAAATGCAATTACCGAAAAGATGTAGTACATCATACGAGTTAAAGGCTGCAGATTCTCGAGGTACTACTGGTCATTTTTGGTTACATAATAAACATTTTCTAGAAGAGGGTTGTTATTGTAAAGTGGATATTTCCAATCCCGATCCATAACATCAATGACGGAGCCAAGGGGGGCAGAGGGGGGCCATGGCCCCCCTAAGTTTTGAGAATTTTAATTCATAATATGTAAATATGTGTGTAAAATAAAATTGGCCCCCCCTAAATTTTTTCAATTTTAGTTTATATTATGAGAGTTGATATATATATATATATATATATATATATATATGAATTAGTCATCTTTGAATGGAATTTCAATTTTGGCCCCCCAAAAAAAAAAATCCTGGCTCCGTCACTGCATAACATCAAGGTAATGCCAAAGCTTTTTATTTTTTATTTTTTGGGTTTTACAAATTTAGTAAAAAAAATGAAAGAAAATAAAGTGTCTAACAAACCTAATGTTGCAATGGAACAAGGCTTTGTTGATATCATGTGACTTGATATACAGCACCATAATCCTATTGCTTGTACCATGCTGCTCAGCTCTTTACGTGCCAAATTGCGGTGCATGTTCCTAAACATTATTCTATAGTTTATACTCTGTTTCAAACCCTAATAAATTAATCAAAGAAGCCAAAAGATAATCTAATGAGCGATGAGGGATTAGGGTTCCAAAGAATATTGCAAAGCATGCACAGATGTGTCCAAATTGGAGAGAAAAGTGAGGAAAAGAGAAGGTATTAATAATGTTAATGAATCATGGTACAACCTGTGTGTGCATGGATGGCCATGTTCTTGAGCCTAACTTTATAATCTTATTATTCAAGAAATGATATTGAGAAAAGACGACACCATATTATGCCAACCTGTTCGGTTGTAACGACGCACCTTAATGTGAATGGCTGCCTTGATTGTCGGAGCTAAACTACCAGTTTTGAAGCATGCTTTGCTTCACTAAGATAAAAGATTCATGCCTATATTAATTGACACAAATGTACTTTAACCATATATATAGTTTCAATTAAACATTGGATATTGAATTCGATCTTTTTATTGTTCCTTATTTTCTCTTTTTCCTTCGTGGAGTAGAGGTGTTCTTGGGAACGGGCGACGGTTCAGTGCTTAAACCTCAAAACTCGTAGTATAGAGCATGTTCTTGTTTGATTACTTTACCTGATTTTAAGTTACTATTATTTTTTTTACGAGCTCGATTATTTTTTTTCATCTAGATTTTAGATTTCTTCAATAGTTGAACGAAAGAATCTAGAAAATACATCCAAGAGTAACTAACTATTCTTGACCCTGATTTTCTATAATAATGACTTTCCAACTTTTACAATCAACTTGCTCAAAATCTACCGCAAACGATAAGGAGGGTGCATATTAAGTATTAATTAAGAATACAATAAATTATAACTAAGTTTATTTATAGAATTAAGCTCAAATCTTCTACTATTAAGTACCCATTAATGGGTACATTCCCTAAACCACACACACCACTTTGTGAACACAATTCCCCAAATTAACTTGTAGTACACAAAACTTTTTTAAGCAAAAATTAAGATTAATATCATCCTCAAAGTAAGGACATAATGTGGAATATTTTTGTTTCGACATACAGGATAGTGCTAGTAGATAAATTCATGGTACATGTGTGTTTGGGAAAGGGCAAGAATCTCTGTAGTGAGAGCACATGGGGAGTTCGGGCATTGGAGGCCCCGCGTTTCCCGGTACAGCTGAAACCCGAAAGGTCATAACTCAAAACGGAAGAGAACGGGAGAGAAGAGACCAGGAAGCAGGATACACAGGAGGAGACTGGGGAGTGAGGACCGGGAAAGGGGTCTCAGCCATGCACGTGACTTTTCTTCCTTTACCTCCAACATCCTCTCTGCTCTCTCGCTTTTCCATCTGGGAAAACGTTAAAAAAGCGACCAATCCTCTTCTTCTTACGTTAAAAACCTCCAACAACATCTGCAACAGTAAATTACAACTATATATACTAGCATAATTAATCGGGATCTGTGCACTAATCATAGCTTCAATTTTGTTAATCTTCCTTTGGAGTCAACGGGTAAACTGTAGGGCAAGTCATCTAATGAGCTCTTGGTTCACTCTCACGTGAAAGCCGCTCCGAAGCCTCCTTTTTTACTCTTTTTTTTTTTGTTTTATGCTCGAATAATTAGCAAATATTACCCAATATAATCACACTTGTCTTGTTTCGTCGTTAACTAATCTTCCACTAATCATATACTATAGCTTGAAAAGAAAAAGATTTTTTTTTTCTGACCTAAATGATGTGCCAGACTGAACTATTCTGTGCAGTGCATTTTTGTCTTGATTTTGACAAACTTGTTTCAGCACCAACTATTGAAGACATTATTCTTTGGACTATGTATGCATGCATTGTTCGTCCTTGTAATGCTTGCTATATGCTTATAGTTTAGCTAGAAATGATAATTCGTCAAAGCTTACAAATATTGCCATTTGAAGGAAAAAAATGATGCAATAAATACTAATAGGTAAAGTTCGATGCTAATCAACTAAAACTCACTTAACCACCAGCCCGGCCATCACTAAAGACTTTAAATTTTGGTGGATGGGAGGTCAAGGGTTTAAACCTTGACTCCTATCATTTGCCGCAATATGTGATTTTTTAAAATTCATACGTATGCGTAGTGCATTCGTCTAATCTAATGGTGGTTCAATCCCCATTAACTCCCCTATAGGTCCAGTTGGGTCTTCTTTAAATTAGGATAGAGTAGAAATAGAGTAAATAAATGACGAATGACAAACAAAAAAAAAACTAAAACTCACTTGGAAAGTATAACATCCATCTAACATAATTTGGAAAAAGCAAATTCTAATATTGTGATTGAAACTTCTTATTTGAAAATATGGAACATAAATTCAGCAAAACATTAAATTTGAAGTGAACTTAAGTTGTAGTTTACAAGATTCAAGTAAGTTGGTTGAAACACAAGCAATCACAAGCTCTTAAATTTGACTCTCAAATCGTTTCCTCATTCCTTTCCGGTGTGAGGTTAAATATCTACCTTGAATTGTGTACTTCATGGTTTGTGTACTTCATGGTGGCAATACAACTCACAAATGTAGCGAAAGATAAAATCTTTTCTATACTAACAGTGTATACACTATTCGTATTGAATGAATGATAACTATGCAAAATTTGAATTTGAAATCCAACTTTCGTACATGTGTCATGAATCAAATGGTGATAATTTATACACTGTCAGTGTATATAAGATTTACTCTATACATATTACCTACTTCTTCTACAATTTTCAGTGTCATTTTGAAGATATAAATAATCTCCTATTCCTCGTCACATATTAAAGTTGGAAGGAGGAATGAACAAAGTCAAGAATCTTTTCGAAAAAAAAAAAAACAGAGTCAAGAATCGACAATCATGTGATTCATACCTTTTCTTTATTTGGATCAAAAGTTCACATACATGCATTATATCCTGGTGATCACTATTTTCTTGAAGAAAATTTGGTGGCACCTCTTTTCTTGACCATTCTTTTTCTTCTCTTACCAAACAAAAATTTGATCTAATATCATGGACAAGAAAAATTTTGGAATTAATGAACTAAAATATTTTGGTTCATGTATCCATCAATAAAGATTACATAATAGACTATATGATGTGGAATTAATTTAGCACACAACTAAACTAAGATAGAAAAATTGAAAAAATGAAAGATAGAAGCTAGCAAATGCAATCAAATTTACTTATGGAAGGCTTAAAATGGTGAAGCTATATATGAATTTAGTAATTTTGCCACAAATGAAGTTGTTGTAAATTCCATTACTAAAGTTTTAAATGATCAAACAAAATATCTCAAATTTTGAATCTCTTTGAAATTTTCTCCAAATTTTATCAAGCAATTTGTGCTGGACGATTTCCACCAATCTCATTGATAAAGTTCTATTTGTCTTTCTTATTAAAAAAATCCCAAAATATTAAAGGCAAACAGTAAAAAAAATCGGATACATGTGATTATTAGTTAAATAGTTTAATCTTCTTCGATGGTAAAATATATCACAAAAAACTAAAGTATAATTGAATTGCAAAAATAAATTAATAATAAGCCCGTAAACAAATAGTAGTAAATATTAACATCGGTACATAATAATACTAGCACATAAAGAAACCGAAGCACAAACTCCAAAAGGATTTTGTTGCTCAGTAATCTTAATCAAGAATATTAATCGGGATCATAAAAAAACATTAAAAAAAAACCTCTTACTTGACAAAATAATATTATTGTAATAACGTCCCATCAAGCAAACGCCGTTAACCTCACCACATTGCCGTTAACATAACGGCGTTTTACCTAACGGAGCCTCGCCAGAGCACAAGAGAAAATTGAAAAGATTAAAAGCACAAGCAGAAACAAATTTACGCATATTACTCGGAAAAACGAAAACGAAGAAGAAGAAGAAGAAGGCCACTGTTTTGTGTATGTATAAAAAGTCCTTTTTCCAAAGCTAGCCCACAGAAAAAAAGCGAAGAAGCAGAGAGAGAGAGATAGAGAGAGGGAGAGAGAAATTTAAGAAGAAGAAAACTTCTCCTCTCTTAAACATTCATCAAGTCCTTGAAACTTCTCCTCTCTTAAACATTCATTTCTTCTTCTGCTTCTTCTTCATCATCTCATAAAATAAAAAAGTAGCAAGAAAACCATTTTACAGCAGCAGGAGTTTCATCTAAACTCGTGTCTGTTTCTTGTCTTAATGTATGTGTTAGTGCGTGGCTCCGTGGGTGTAGAATTGTGTGTGTTCGGAAGTTAGCTGGCTCTACAAGTAATCTTGAAGGTGACTGTTGGGATCACTTGATTATCACGTCTGGAAATCCGGGTTCTAAATTTTGGGTTCCTTTCAGCGGAATCCGAGCTGAATTATGCAATATTCACCGTAAAATTCGGTATGGCAAGAGTATGCTTCGAGTTAGCTTTGTTTATTGATTTTCTTTCCTTTTCTTCTGTGGTGCATTATGGGTGATTTCAACCTTACCTCTCGTTTTCAGGAGATTTCAAGTTGAATTATGCATAATTCTGTCGAATTTTGATTTCAAGTGCTCGCAGAAGCCTGAAACGTATTTTCTTGGAGCAGCCTGATTGTATTCTCGGTTGAGTTGTGGGTTTCCCCACGTGAATTTTCCACCATTGTTCCGCTGCCGAATTATATATCGGGTGAAGAGTTTGTTCAGGCTGGTTTTTGAATTTTAGTGCTGCTACTGTCTGAAGCTGATGGTGGATCTGGGATGAACTTGAAGAATTTGAATCTTGTTTGGAGATTTCACTGGTTTTAAGGTTGGAATTCATCATATACTGCTGTAATTCGATCTGAGTTCTGGAGAAATTTTGCAGAAGAGCTGATTTTTGTCAGGTGTTAATGGAGCTGCGCCAACCCAGGCCTTTTGGGACTGAAGGTAACCATGAATTCTGGTCAGCAAATGCATATGTGAATTCTGGAAGTTTTCTGTGTTTACAACTCACGGGAAGAATCAAAGCAGTATTCTGAATTCTAAAATGTTAGGTTTGAGGTTGTGAACCATGATTTAATGTGGTTTTTTCTTGTAAAAATGATACAGGAAGGAAAACCACCCATGACTTTCTTTCACTGTACTCGCCAGTCCAACAAGATCCCAGACCCCCACAAGGTAAATTCTCTTTCATGCAATGCAAACATGGTGCTTTTTTACCTCCAGAAGGAAGAGGTTTTACTTTTTCTTTTCTTCTAATCTTTTTATTTTCCTTTTCCTTTTTAAGCCTTCAAATTTCCATTTTGCCGTCATAATGGCTTGAAGAGAGACACAAATTCTTCTTTCCCATTTCTTCTTCTTTGAGAAAAATTTAAAAGCTTAGAGAAAGTCCAATTTTTTTTTCCCTTGATCCCCCCCCCCCCACCCACCTCCCTTTCCCCCCGGAAAAAAGCCCAATTTTTGTAAAATGAGAGTAGTTGGAGCACGTTTAGACATGATTTGAGTCATTAGCAATCTGGAATATGATTTCAATTATTTTTTTTTAACTTAACAGTTGTTCATGACCTAATATTTTGATTCCCATGTTTCATGTGGAAGATCAAATTGATACTTCAAAATAAATTCAAAAGTACATGTACCACCTTTTTAATTTTTTATCTTTTCCTCAAGGGTAAAAATCATTCCTTGGAACCATGAAAATTTTATTCTACTATTAACCTAATACCAAAAAATCGGGGTCTCCAAATTTAATTAAAAAGGGTAGAATTTTACAGACTTTTTTTTAATTTTTATTGTTGCTTTTTTTTTTTAATTGTGAGTGTGGTAGGCCCAGGTAGGGGAAATATCCAGGCGAAGCAAAGCAGGAGAGAGAGAGAGAGAGAGAGAGAGAGAGAGGAGTAGGCTGAGGCTTGGCAATATAGCACCCACGAGTGGTGTAGTAAAAGTACCCGTGACCCCATGTTGATTGTTTGAATATATGTGGGATCTGGGCCATATGTTAGAGCCTGATAGGGTGGGTCATCACCTGGGATAGGCTGACAATTGCCGGATCCGAAAAGGGAGGGGTTGGGACTTTGCTGTTAAAACCCCCTCTCAGATTGGGTAATTTTGGTTTGGGACACCTGATTTTGGCCTGACTTTTCTTGGGTAGGACCCATTTTGCAAAGGTTGAGGAGGAGGAGAGAGGAGAGGAGAGGAGAGAGTAGCAGCTGGAGTTTCATTTCAGGACATGCGACATCATCATCATCATTGATTGATTCAAAAAAAAAAAACTCCTCATCACTGCTTCCCGTGTAGGTGCTTACATAATTTTACATTGATTTCAGTAATTCTTTTGTCATGCAAGCAACGATCCATTCAATTATAGGGTGAGTACAGTGAAAATTGTGCTGTGAATGATCTTAAATGGTTGCAGAAGATTCATTGTTCCTGTTCCCTGTTTCGGCTACACTTCCAACGTGGGATTTATAGGAATCAAGAAAACATCTGAGTGATTGTTCTTGGTCCTTGTTCCTAGCCTACCCTTTTTACCCTGTTCGCTCTTGTACCTTTTTCTTGTATTTTCCTTGGAAATTTTCATTTGTATTGAGTCTGCACTTGATATCATATGGTAAATTATCGATGAAATAATTTTTTATTTTGCTAGAGTAGCACTTATCTTTTTTTTAGCCAAAAACAAAGGGAAGAAGAAGACGAAGACGAAGAAGAAAAATAGAAGGGAAGGAATGGAAAAATGGGGTGCAATTGTTTCCCAGTAATTTGTTGCGAAAGTTAATGTTTGGAAAAGGCAGTAGGAATGGCATAAAAGACCATTAATTGCACTCTTACGAGAATAAGTTAATGAGTCCAGCATTCATACTGTGTCTTTGTTGGAACGAACTTGTTGATGCTGCTGCTCTGTCAAAGTTCCTATGTCGAATTATTAAGGGACTTCGCATTCTGATATTGTCAATAATTTGTGATGGGTTTTCTGAGCCTTTTTCCTATCGTTTCTTTTCAACCTCCAAATGCAGGTGGCTTCCTTAAAACGCAGGACTTCTTGCAACCACTGGAGCAAGGATGTAAGAATGATGCCAAGGAGGAAGACAAAGTAGAAATAAATGATTTGGAAAAGCCTCCACCAGCAGCTTCTCCATCTAACATAGAGCATCTTCTTCCTGGTGGTATTGGGACCTACAGCATTACTTATTTCAATCAGAGGTTCCTAAAACCGGAGGGGAATGTATACATGATGGCACAAGCAAGTAGTACCAACATAAATGACGAAAACTCAAACTGCAGTTCTTACGCAGGTGGTGGTTTCACTTTGTGGGATGAATCTGCAGTGAAAAAGGGAAAGACAGGGAAGGAGAATAATGCTGGAGATAGAGCTGTTCTTAAAGGTAACTTCTTTGAGACTTGATACTTCCGGATTATTCCCTATCAATAGAGTTGCTCTCATTGAGTACTCACACATTTAAAATCATATAAAGATGCACTTCCTGTAGTCGGGGCAGTGCTGCCATCTATATAAATGCTTGCTCAAATTGAATAACCAGCAGGTTTACTGCTATCAATATTAAAAATGCAAGTTCTGATTCTTCTGCTCTTCATGTTTTTTCAGTTGATTGACAGCAATCAATTTAATACTTCCACACTAAAATCCTTCAACACTTTGAATTTCATGTATCTGACAGAAGCAGAAGCAAATGTTGGGGCAGGGCAGTGGAGAGCATCAGCAGAACGGCCCTCACAGTCCTCGTCCAACCATAAGCTTAATGCTGCAACATTCAGCTCTCTCTCAACCTCTAAGTCAGTGACATTTCTCTCCATTCATCTTCAGACCTCAGTTTTCTGTGCACCAAATATTGTGTAGCTGCTTATAACTCTTTACTAATTTTTCCAGGCCATCTTTGGCCCAGAGGAACCAGAGTTTTGTAAATATGATAACATCGGCTAAGAGTTTTCAAGAAGAGGATGATGATGATGATGACGAGGAAGAGTTTGTCATCAAGAAAGAGCCATCGTCACATCCCAAAGGTACCCTTCTTCAACCTTGTGTATCCATTAACAGCTTGGTTCTTATCCTTTTTTTGTACCTAGGAACGCAAATAACATCCATCTTGACAGGCAATTTGTCAGTTAAAGTTGATGGAAAAAGCACCGATCAGAAACCTAGTACTCCACGTTCAAAACACTCAGCTACAGAGCAACGTAGAAGGAGCAAGATTAATGACAGGCATGTGTACCTTCCCTTAGTGGAAGTCAAGTCTCTTACTGATCATATAAATCTCTAATTTCTCTGATATGCTTGTTGTCTTCTAACAATGACAGTACTGCTGAAGTCTTGCTTTTTTCTTCTCATGCAAAATTCCACTTCCCACCTTGAACTCGTGCAGTTCCTTATGTTGCCACTGTATATTATTAAATACCATTTTTAACTTGCAAAAATAGATGGAAGTTGGTTCTGTTTTAAAGCTTGGAGCTGCAAATGTGCTTGTCCAAGTTTTGAATGCTATACTTTGTCATTATGCATGAAAACAATGTCTATATATTGAACTAACGGGAGTAAAGAAATGGAATCAGTCAGTCAACTGTTAGTTTTGGGACTGTTCCTAATCTTGCTGTTTCATAAGCAAACGAAAATTGGAAACTTTACTGAAGTTTTCTCAATAATGTTTGATTTGCAATAATAGAGAAGCTTTACTCAGGATTTTAATGTATACTCGAGTCAAAATAATTTCATTTTTGAAGAGTAAACTTTAAATCTTTAGTCTTGAACTTTGTCATGCAGATTTCAGAAGTTAAGAGAGATCATCCCTCATAGCGACCAAAAAAGAGATAAGGCGTCATTTTTGTTAGAGGTATATATGTATGTTTTGAAATATTTTATCTACTTTTATCTCATAATTAATCATAGAAATGACAAGTTATCAATGTCTATGCAGGTTATTGAGTATATTCAATTTCTACAAGACAAAGTGCAGAAATATGAAGGGCCATACCCAGGATGGAACCAGGAACTATCTAAGCCAATGCCATGGGTAAACTACAATCTCTTATTTGTTTCTGTATGCATCATTGCAGTATTCACATGACTTTCTAAATGTTTCTTTGAGATATTGAACCTAAGCTTTGGATACTTCTTGTCAGTAGTTATTGCTGCTTATGAATAAAAGACAGGTCTCAAAGAAATAAGTTGAATTAAAAATTGATGCTGGATTGAAAATCACTGGCTTAACTGAAGCATGCTAGATACGTTAATGGAAATCTAGTTGAGGTCTTAATTCTGACCCAAGTATGTAGGTCGGGCATACTTCATGGAAAGATTGGAAATTGCAGATATTCTACATTTGAGAATGCTTTAGTACTTCATTTGGTGATTCTTTCTGCTTCTATTGAACAGAGAAATCTCAGAGGTCCTGAAGACTTTATCAATTCTACTCAAGTCACGAATATTGGGTCAAATCCACTAATTCATGCAGCAAAACTTAATGAGAGCAAAGTTACTAGCTCTTCTGCACTAGCTATCAATGGGCAGCACCTAGAATCAGATGTAAGCAGTGCAGCAGCTTTTGGAGAAAAGGATCATCAGCCTGATATAACAGATAAAGCAGCATCAGTTCCTATGGCGCTGAGGCATGGAATATTTCCATTTGGAGGAACCAGCACTGCATCTGTACCACTCTCATCTACGCCTGCATCTGATATAGACAAAACGGCATCTCACCCGCAACATCAGTTTTGGCCCAGAGGATCATGTACGGCCGATAGCAATATAACTGATAAGCTGAAAGACCAAGAACTAACTATTGAGAGTGGTACAATTAGCATCTCCAGCATATATTCACGAGGGTTAGTATTCTTTCTTCATTTTCCTTTAGTTCTCTAAGATGGTTCAGACTTGCTGTTAGTTTTTATCTTAGCAAATGAGAAAATCAAGGGAAAAGCTTCTCATATGCTTTCTTCTAAAACTTGTAGAATCGAATAATATATGACTTCCTATCTTCTCTCATTTAACTGGAAGGAACTCCATATTTTCTATCATCCTCATTGTGGAATCAGTTTACCATCATAGCCTGATTGTATCATAAAAACTCATGAACAGGTTGTTGAGTACTCTGACACAAGCATTGCAGAGTTCTGGAATAGATCTGTCTCAGGCCAACATTTCTGTTCAAATTGATCTTGGAAAAAGAGCTAATGGCAGAGTAAATTCTTCAGCTTCGGTTATCAAGGTACTTTGCCCATTTGCTATACTTGCTTCCCAGTAATTCTTTTGCAATGCTGTTTCTGAGGAACTTCATTCCAAAGTTTCCATGTTTCTTTGTGCTGCATTGCAAAATTTTCTTGAGACTTGCGTCTTACACTTCCTGTAGGATGTTGATGTACCGAGTTGCAACCAAGCAATGCCAAGGTCTATAGTTACAAGAGCAGGGGAGGATTCTCCTGGACAAGCATTGAAGAGGCTCAAAACAAGCAGAAGCTAGCATGTCATTAGACTGGATCATATTCTTCTTTTGTAACTGATTTATCCAATTTTTGATGCCCCTTCTTATTTTAAGGGGAATGTTCTTGCCTTTGATTATGGACCCATTGTAAATGCTGTTTCAAATTCTTTTGGGATGCACATAATTACCTGACATATTGTATTATTTACCACTTATTTTTTGTTAATTATTATATACAATTAGAGGCTTCCATGCCAACTCAAAGAAGCCGCCTTACTAAATCAAGGCTTATCTTTTTGTGCAAATATCACAGCAACTTTTCTAGTGTTCTCCAGTGAGATGCAGCAAGGCTGCTCTTTTATTGACAATGAACCCTTTGGATAGGCATTGCTATCTTAATTTTTTTAATCACAGTTATTTTTGCAAATAAATTAGTCATTTATTCAATGTCCACAATATGTATACAACTATTAGCCCAAACCTCCACGTGAGCTGGTTGCAACTAAGGGAAACGGGGGGAAAACAAAAAAGATGAAATGGAAAGTTCTTACACTTTAGGGTGAAGAATTCATTTGAATTTGTATGACCCCCAGCTTTTGGGGTAACCAAAATCAGCAATTACAGAAATATGGTGCTAGATTGGTGACTGGTGAATCAGATACATTCTGATGGTCATGATTTTATGAAGTCTTTTCTATTCTGCGTGCAAAGGGTCCGTTTGGTTCATGGGATGACATAGGATTGGATTAATCATTCTGTGTCTTTCTATGTTTAGTTGCATTTTGTACATGGGATGACACATCCTACCTAACTAAATAAATCCCTATTCATGGGATAAAATAATCCCATAGAGGAGATGGTATTAGTCATCCCAGGATGACTGACATAAAGGATGATAAAATTTTATACTAATTTACCTTTATAAAAATACAAATTTATACTCTTATAATTATATAACCCTACTCCCACACGATAAAATAATATGAATTGACTAATTTGCCCCTACTAATTAATTTTAAAGCTTTTTGACTAATTTGATGTTGCCATCAACATAAAAATATTTGAACTAATTTACCTTATGAATGATTCAAATTCATACTGACTATTAAACAACCATACTCTCACATAATAATATGATAATAAATGGACTAATTAGCCCCTACTAATTATATTAAAATTTTTGACGAATTTGCCCCTATTCATTATTTGAAAATTTTTGACTTGCCCAATTAATTAATGTAAATTTTTTTGACTAATTTGTCATACTAACATCATACTAGAATAACTATTAGGAGGGGAGTACCCGCGTATCGGGAGGTATTTGGTGCTTGTGATTAAAGAGGATTTTACACAAAAAAACTCACACACATTTAGTAATAATATGGAGTAACAAAATATCTAATGTATACTGGGAGATGGAGAAGGAAATTATGCATGCTATCTTGCTCGGTTCATATATTTTGAAACAAACATTTGTATATGAGTTTTTCATTAACAAGACTAAATGAACTTCAAATAGGTACACAAACGATTTAGAGAACGACGATAAACAAAGTGATTATCCACTTAAACATGCATCTACACAACATTCTTATTGATGAAAGTTGCCAACTTTTTCAGCAACAACAAAGCATTCTCTCCCTTGAGAAAAAACAAATTGAAGACATGATCTTCCCCTGCAACCTCCACACTTCTATCCCACTCACTCTTCTCTAAAACCTCTTTATAAAGCCACCCCCTATCTTTTAGAATATCCTTTTCAGCAACATAAATGATAAATCAACACCTTTTTCTAGCCTAGCCTCGAAAGGTTTAGTTCTATCAGAGGATTTAACATTGGATCATCAATCCCCGTAGATTTTGAGTGAACATAATGCCGGATGCCCTCAACATAGGCCTTTGCCTGTAATTTCGTTAACTCAATACCGATTAGCTCTTTCCTCCGAAAATAAGGACAATTGAAAATAGTTTCGCCAGAGAACTATATTGAAATCCAGAGTACAATGGCAATACAAGTAACTATTTACCGGAAGACAAAAGAAACATAACGAAAGAATGTGAAGGAGCGGACATCTGAAGAATTGAAGCTAAAACTGATACTCAATCATAAATTCCTTAATAAACCACGTTGTTCTTGCTTTAATTGAGACGAAAATGATGTTTGAAGGTTTTCAAGTTATAATAGTAAAGTAATAGTAATAATTGATACAAGCCAAAATGAATGTCTCTACAAGGACATTTAAGTAATTACATTAATAAAGAAGCTATTATGGGTTGTATTCATTGTAGAAAAGATAATCAAATAATCTCACATTCCCAAAATACCCAAACCTTTGAACAAATCATCACTGCATCTTTTAAAATACAAGGACGTTTCGGTAAACACAAGAATACACATGCTATCTCAAGTAGTATCCAACGCTATAACTCCACTCAAAACAATCTCACAATCCCAAAATACCCCTACTCTTGCGATTGAAATTCAAAATCATTCTTTGATCCAAACTCATTCTTATATAGTATAAAGATATTGCCTTTGGACTAAATTACCTTTAATAAGCTTACTTTCTAAATCAAATTTTATATAAATACATAATCTTATCAATTAGGTTTTATGAATGAGAACTTCGATAAATTCAAATTCTGTCCAAAGAAAAATCTTATATATTAGCTTGAGTTCGACTCATTTAAAGCTCTTAAATGAGTTGGGTTTTAATTGATTTAACTCTAAATTAGCTAAAACTCGGCCCATTATTTAATTGGATTTCAAATTTATATTCAAAAACTTGGTCAAAATCTAGGGCCCAAATGGGCTAAGTTTAAGTGAATGCAAATTTTTATATATCAAAATCCTTAATTTACTTTATAATTCTAAAGTTTCAAAGTACTCTATTTTAATAAAAGTTATAAATATTAATTTTTATTAAAAATATTAAATTATTTTATTAATATTTTATAAAATATTTAAATTATTTTATGAAAAAGAATCTACAAATTGAGGGTTGCTTTGGTCATTAAAGTAGTAATCTTACCTCATCCAATCTCCAACCAAACACGGGATAAGATTATTCCCTAACATATCATATCCAATTCAGAACCAACCAAATACTAGATAATTTGGATTATTTATCCAGGGATGACTCAACCCAAAATTAATAATCCGAGAATGAGTTATCTTATCTCATCTGGTCTATGAACCAAACGGACCCTAAAAGGACCCAAAAATAATAATAATTTGAGAATAAGTCATCTCATCTCATCTAGTCCATGACCGATACAAACCCCAAGAGTATAGAATAAGCATACAAAATGGAAACGGTGGGTCTATCATAAAATTCAATATTATTATGCACCTCATGAAATCACGGCACTTCTGCCTACAAAATGTGAACTTTTAGAGTGAACTAAACACTTGGCCTAAAATAACCCTTCTATGAAAACTAACACAAATATGCTTTGAAATTGTTATTTAATTATTTAATCATAGCTTAATCTGCAGCGATGTTTGTTTATATCAGAGCTTAGAGGGATCGAAAAAGATTAGCAACTTCTTTATCTATTGGGCCCTGTATAATCTGACGCTCTGTTATATCCGACGGTCATCCCCCCATTACAATTTGGAGAGTTTATGGGCTCTCTTTCACGGGGCACAGGCCGAATGTCCAGCCCCACCCACTTTCACAACCGGCGTGAGCCCAATAGTTTGTTGGATTTCTTGACCAAATTGTTCATCTTCTATAATTTTCCCTCGATTTTTGGTCCTTTTTTTTTTTTTTTCAAGTTTCAATATCTTTCTTTCCAACCTCTCTTAGGCTCTAGCAATCCAATCAATCAATTTTTCTTCTTCAATCTATTCAATTATGTTTGGCCAGTCCTTAAATGGTTAAATATTTTACTTTATAGTAATTACTTCTTTTTTGTAGTAATTTGCAGTTAACACCAATTTGTTTATTATGTGAAAGAAAAACCCTTGTCAAGTTCTGAAACTCAATTCATAGTGTCATGATTGCTTTTTATGTAAACCACACTTAGTCACGTTTTTTCATTTTTCAATTGTCAATTCCAAATCAACTTCCTAGAGACTGCATGATGCAGGTTTTCATGGGAAAGGAAGAGATTAGTCCTCTGCTTAGAGACATTCTTTTACTCTATTTGTCTCTCACTCTCAGCTGTATCCTTCTTTCCTATTTTTTTTGAACTAAAGAAATTCAAATATGACACTAACAATTATCCTCCCTCGATTTATATACTCTTCCTATTTAATTTTACCTACTCTCCATTGTATTTATTTACTTTACCTAATTAATCCTATATTTTCAACAATATAGTACCTGAAATATATCTTAATAAATGCCCTATGGGCACCCCGTTAGACACAGACCGTTTTAAAATCGTCTATTTGCATTAAAATAGTTTGAGAGTCTTAAATAGCTCTTTTAACTCCTTGTAGAAATAGAACGACTAGACATTTTTGAACGACTAGAAGTTTCTTTAAAAGGTTTCACATAAGTAACTAACCATAAAACCACTAATGTCAACCTTCCAATATTATTAAGTTCCTTAGTCAGATTCCTAATGTTGTTGTTTTCCTAAACTCAGCAAACCAAATTAACCATATAAAAAAGGCATGCTAGTAACCTAGGACAATTGCAGTTAAGCTTTCTTTGTTGGCGGAAGCTTCTGTTGACCATGCTTCCCCTTTATTCAATGCATGCACCTAATAATCACATACCAACATAGTACTAGAAATTACTACTATAAAATATGAGATACGGCAATGCATTATTCCAAGTAATCCACCATCGGCTGCTAAATCAATAATGTCATTAAGGCATACTTTGACAAATGGGTTTTTGAAGTAATTTAATGTATAGTCACTCTCAATTTGATGAAATTGCCTCTTTGAAGTAAAACAAAAGGTATAAAGAATATCTTGCTAAGTTAAGTTACCTTCACCAAACAGCAACTTCATCCGCATATCGCAGATGAAAATGATCCGCTGACATAGATGCTGCGAGTCATAAGCCTCAACCACTTATTTACAAATGAAGAAATTGACTCCATAACGCTTTAACTAATTGGTTTAGTACATAGAAGATTAGTCTTTGTTTATTCAAGAGTTACAACTACTATGCATTTGCCTATTGTTTATATTTTTCCCTTACCATTCAAAATCAAAGTATATAAAATACTTAATTCTACTTTAGTTATTATCAATGGAGTTGCTCTTCGTTTTCCGATACACTTAATGCAGATGGAGAAGATAAGAATCATTATTGGCTCCACTCTCGAGGGGTCGCTTCTTGGATCATTCAACCAGATAACAGTCACACTGAATCCGAAGTAAAGTTGAGGATTGTCTTGGGATCTCCCTTTCTTGATTCCTCCGATCCCACCAAATTTCCAATTGCAAAAAAGTTCAATAAAAACTCTTACTGGATCATGGGATTGGTGGTAGGGAAGGGTTTAAACTGCCCTTGTCACAACAATCCATTTTCTTTGCCACTTGTTGGATGGATCATCAGCAAAATGCCTAGATGGAAGCAGCCAAATATGACCCTTTTCTTTCATGGGAAAAGAGACCGCACTAATCACTAAGCGCTATATATTCATTGGCGGCATCGGTATAATATTGGCAGTTGCCAAAAAAAAAAAAAATAAATGGTTGGAATTAAACATCTACAAAGTGGGCAATTATTTAATCATTTTGAGCCCCCAAATCCACTTCCATTGGTACGTGGGAGCTCTCAATCACATCAATTATTTTTACTTCTTGTTAATCAAACAATTATTAGCCGACTTTCACAGAATTAATAGGGTATAGACCCCATTATGATGCAGACCATCTTATACTACTACTGGGTTAATTCCACTTTGTCCCCCCAAACTTTGGACGATTATCCACTTAAGTCCCTAAACTTCAAAATGGGACACTTAAGTCCCTAAACTTATAAATACCTCCCACTTAAGTCCCAGAACTTATAAAATGGGACACTTAAAACCCTAAACCCTTATAAAATGGGACACTTTGACCACCCACGACATTCAGGATTTGTTAACAATTTTCCTTAAGTGGGAGGTACTTATAAGTTTAGGGACTTAAGTGTCCCATTTTGAAATTTAGGGACTTAAGTGGATAATCGTCCAAAGTTTGGGGGGGCAAAGTGGAATTAACCCACTACTACTAGTATATAGTAGCGTGTACCTAATGCTCATTCTCCCAACTGCCAATGTTTCATTCTTAACCAATTGGATAATGTTTCATTCTTAACCAATCTCTGTTCTCCAATGAGTTAGGTGCATAACAATTTGCCACATATGATAAAATATTCTTTAGTACTTTCTACGTTTGTCACTTTTGAAAGAAATATTGCTGATTTTCTTTGTCTAGATTCCAGGCATGAGGAATAATACTACTAGAATACCGGTTGACAAGGAATATTAGAGTAGACAACTCATATCAGGCCTCCCCAAAAATGATATTGAATGTGATGAACGTGGGATGAATTTAACCAATTGGTTCCAAATCTGTTAATTTTTTACCATAAATGAGGTTCTTTTATTCTGTACTTAATTATGGTTGATAACTGGATGCTGTATTAATTATATATTGTCGACCGACAGATGACATACATTATCATGATCAGAACAGAAGGGTGGTCAAACATTAGTGATAAAAACAAGTCAAGTTAATTTAATGGACTTTCAAGATTTCAACTTCATAACTTAAAAAAGAGAAAGAAAAAAAAAGGTGGGCTTTAACCTCTGATGGACAGTACTGCATTGTAATCTTCAATAAAAAAGAAAAAAGACTTTAACTGACAGTGCATTGGTCATTTGGCCAGCAGACAACTAGCGATGGAATTGGTATAAGGATCCTTTAGGCTCTGGCAAAGCAAAATATTTCGAACATCTCTATTTGACAGAGAATTTGACCTTAACTTGTTGATTAGCAGTTTGATAACTCATATAAGGTCTTTTTTTTTTGGGGGTTTAATTTGGAGAATATCATTGTCAGGGAAACTTTGTGCTAGAATCCTAAGTTGCAATTACATTTCAACTCAGCATGGAATTTGAGGTGCAACGGATCCTCTGTCCCACTTTTTGTATCACTCCCTATCTCACTTTTTATTATATTGTTATTTCTCATTCATAAACATCATGTTTTAGTTCTTATTTGTTTTCTTAAGATCTAATAATTATTAATTGTTTTCCAATGATTATTTGCTAAGCATGATGACGCTGTGATTTGATCATTTGTTTACCTTATTACTCAAACGGCTACTTCTCACCAAATCCTTTCTAGTTCCCTCGTTGGTTTTGCTGTAAAACTTTTCAGTTTTCAGGTACAGAACATGATCATTGGATGTTATGTTTGACCATCATCATCACAAGATGGCCGCCACCACCACACTCTGCACGTTCATTCATTATTCTTTTCTCTTTTCAGACTTTGGTGATCGGTTGGACAGATTCATCACCCTAATTCTTGATCTTAAATTAATGTCATGACGTCCACAACACCCCCAACTGATCAGAAATCCTACCAAAAACATACCCAGAGGAATATGTCTTTCTTCTTTTTCGTACATCTGTTTTGTTACTAAACCATAACAGCTGTCTTGAACCCCGAAACTGTGTTGAAGATCCATATTTGGTTTGTTTTAACATCGTCGATCATTTCCTGGAAGGGAAAGATGCTCTGGAATCCCACCGGCACATACGGAGCACTTCCTCTCATGTTCAAGAAAACACCAGCTACGTGAAAGACTAAAAACTTCTTCTTCGTCTAATGAGAACAAACTAAAATCAATGGACGGAAAGAAGGCAAGAGACGGCAACTGATGGACTTGGAATTTAAAAGCTGCTTTTATAGATTTTTCAAGTATAAATGAGGGTTGTAGACAATTTTAGAAAAAGAAGAATAAATAAAAGAAATATGATGTTCAAAGCTAACCTTTGGCAAAACCGTGGTTTCCAATAAAACAAATCTATATTTGCATTCCCTCTTGTGTACACTGCAGCTGATTTGACGTAAACACCCTGTAATGGCAGGGTGACTTCTATACATGGAGTTGGATTATTAGACTCTATATAAAATACTAAGTACTCTGGCACCTTCCGTTCCTGAGACAATCTCTCGAGACTTTGCTCAAGTCCATTCTCCCCTATAAACTTCAATATGCCTCCTTTCAAACAAAATTCTCCTCAAACTTTTAGCTCTGGAGAACTTCGTTGAAGATCTGCTTAGCAAGAATGAAATCACATGCTGCTGCCAAAATACGGGTCACATGTTACTTAACAGATCATCTTCTTTTGGTTGCTGCAAACACTCCCATGGGTTTGCGTAGAAGTAATCCTCTTCTTTAGGTCTATCTGGAATCACTACCCTTTTGACAGGATTGCCCATTCTCTCAGAATGGGATTCCTTAACAGCAGCAGAGAACTCATCCCATGTTAGCGATCCCATATTGTACTGGTCTATCAAATCAACTAGAAGCTTTCTGTCCAACAGTATTGTCTTCTTGTATTCGAGATATCTGAGGACATTTCACAACAAAGCACCCATTTGATATGCAAGGACAAAAAACTCAAAGAAAGATGACAGAAATGCTTTGCATCGGATTATCACCACGATTCCAACTACATGACATTCTTCAGCTAGTTAAAAGCACTATACTTCAACAACAAAAATTACTTGAACAGCAATCTTTGAAAGACATGGCACAAAGTAATCAGGCACCAAAAGCACTCCAAACTTTAGTAACTGACATTTTCCTGAAAGTAATTTGAAGCCAGAAAAATATACCTGCGGTGGCCTTCAACAACTTTTGCCATGTTTCCATCATATGTTGGAACAAATATATCACTTTCAAGAGAAACAAGATAGTCTAGTGCTGCCATCTGAGATGAATGATTCTGGAAGAATCTAAGATCCGAAGGATCCAACAGTGTCTCCTTTCTGACCTGTTTACCAGACACACCCAAAGCAAGTGGTGAAAACATGCTGACATAAAACAGTTGCATTTTATGATTAAATGATGAAATGGAATAGCTATTTCATAATGTACTTACCAAATTTGGATAAGCTGCTGCAAGACTAGCCAATCTCCTCTCTCCACCATATATTTCTCCAGCAGCAATGTAAATTTGGATGTTATGATCAATGTCCAAGGCCCTCAGGGTAAGAGCAGTTTCCTCAGGTGTCAAGGGACACAGGCCATCTTTTCTTTTCAAATCGGAGTTTATAATTTTCTCCTTCCACCAGGGATAAGCATATCTGCATAACCACAAATTAGCAACATGAGAATAATTACCCCTTGTATTGCTGACTGACTAATTAAATTTGAATACCAATATGTGCTAGCTCACCTCATTCTTGTCAACTCATCCACCTCCTCCTGGTTGCACCCCTGAGTGCAGCCTGAAAAAGCCAGCATGTCCATTTCATATCTGAGATGAAGTACTATGAAAGGCCCCTTTCGACGAAGGAGTTTGATGACCTTTCTACCCAACTCTTCTATCTGAGGTGTAAATTTGAGAGCACTAAAATTGACTCGACAACGTAGCTTCTGAAGCTCCAAGGGCTGGCCATTGTTTGCAAGTCGAGTGTCAGTTCTATTTAGGTGCACAACTTTGTATTTGCGTATAAGAGGAAGAATCTGCACATCCAAAAAAATGTACACGGTTATAACCATAAACAGGGCAGTGAAACAAACCAAACAGAAGAACATTATGGGAATACTATATACCTGATTTTCATAGTAAGATATATCAGACCAACTAATAGGCGGCATAGTATAAAATAACCCTCTCTCCACTCTCTCCTTGAGCCTAGGGGGTAGCTCTTTCAATATCCGAACTTCATCTCTCAAGGATGTAATAAAATGATCAACGTCAAATATGTCTTGAAACTCACTGCAACATCAAACAACAAAGATCCAGTACAGAGGAGGGAAAAAAAGGATAGCCCTCCGTCATAATAAAAGAACAAAGCCATAATTTTGTGCAAGGAAAGAGACCTTGGATCTGCCCAGAAAGAAGCTTTATCCAACTCAGGAACTATAAGCGTCACATTCAAATGTCTGGCAATTGCTACCATGTCACATATCTGTACCCCGATAACATATAGAAAAAGTACAGGTTATCAAAAATTGCTGTCATAAGCCAGTTCAAACATGCAAGCCACATTATTAAGAAAGCTACTAACCGCCGCCCGCATTTGGTTAAGGCCTCCGTTGCATGAAACCATCAGATAACCATTGTTCTTGTAAACTCCTACATCAAAAGGTGCAAATTTCAAATCTGATTGTAGGTGGGGGAAAATAGTAGTCAAAATACCAAATACAATTCCAAGAAGAGACAAATTAATGATCCATGCTTATCCCAAAAAAAACAAACAACACATTTATGATTAACCGCAGCAAATAGAGAAAGCAGCAAAATCCACTGATGCAGTAAAACAACCTAAGAGGTTTGTTATACCAATTACTTCATTTCAAAACAAAACAAAAGATCAACAACCACCGCAAACTCTCAATTCTGCAAGTGCTTGGAGCAACCAAATCTCTCAGGAACATGCCGGATGCTTCTCAACTTTTCAATAATCAACCAGCAGTCCAAGTCAATCGTTTCATCCAAGGGTGTGTGAAATTAAACCCCACTTTCCTAAATTCAAAGACCCTTAGATTCTACATTATAAAGCACCCTTAACACCACAAATACACCCTCCTCATATCCACCATCCTTTCCGCTTACATTCACCAAAATATGAGCTTCTACTCCCCATCTTTTAAAGCGATCAACATCAACCATCAAAACAGAAAATTCATTACAGCGCCCAAAAATAAAAATCAAAGAGCAAAAACAGAATCAATCAAGTAGTAATACTCACTCTTGGGAGGAAGAACTCGAGCAGGGACATCTTCAGGGGCAGATTTAACATCCAAAGCGGAAGCAGAACCAGTAACAGTGGCAGAAGAACCAGAACCAGAATCCTGAGAAAAGCAAGATGGCCATCCCTTCAAAACTCTAGGACCAAAACTTTCACCCAATGCCGTTAACTGAACCAAGCAAATCCACAACATCACAGATGTAGTAGCCCTTATCATCCATAGCTTCATTTTCGACCGCGAAACCATGGAATTTTTAAACTTCTCTACTCTACTATGTTGAATAATATTTCCACCTTTCAACCCCATCACCCCACCTAATCCTAACCCTAACCCTAGCCCCCTTAAACCCCAGTTCTTCCTCCTCCTCCAAACACTCTCCTCACTCTTCTCTTCCTCTATTCTGCACATATCCCCCATACATCAAAAATCCCCGCCTCCCCTTTTCTTCAAAAAAATCAACAACTTCTCATTAAATTCTGCAGAAACTATTACGTTTAATCTGTGAATGAAAAAAAAAATCCCTGATCTTAATTTACACGATAAATGAATATAAATATGCCGTAAAATTATAGCATCAAAATTTATTCGTCATACAGCTTCGACAGGACATCTTTTACAGCTAAATAGCAGTAAAAATCCAATCTTTCACCCACATTTACAGAAACAATTTGAGCCAAAGTTTCGATCTTTAGCGATCAGAGGAAGAGAAAAAAAAAACCCTTGATTGAAATGAAATTTTCTTCTTCTTCTCTTTTCTGGGATGGAAAAAAATGGTGGGATGATATGAATGATAATGTGGAATGTATGAGAGATCTAACGGATTTTCCGGCAAGATATCTAAAGGGTCGCCGGAATCTGGCGCGCCGGAGCTGCTCGCCGGTGGTGGATGGGGAGAGATAAGAATAGAAAACCGTGGTAGTGGATTGGTGGCGCACAAACGCACGACCCGGGCGAGTGGGGAGTTTTGATGAAATGGGCAACTTAAACCAGTTGCTTATGTTCCGGGGTGGTCGGATTGTTAGTGATTTTGTGTGTGAAGTTCTACATTTATATTATTATGACCCTTCTTTTTTCTCCTTTTTTTTTTGGGGGGTGTAAGTGTTGCCTTCACGAAATTGGTCTAGGGAGAAAATTTTATGAGAGACTGAGTTGGTAATGTTACGTTTTTAGGTAGCAATAAAATGAACCTACAATGTCAAGAAATTAAATTTAAGAGGTGTTTATGGATATTAACTTTGATACTAGAATTGGTATGCAAAGATATTATGATATATTATGACCTTTCTTTCCTTTTTTTTGGAGTATTTTGTTGTCCACGTGAAATTGTTTGTGGAAGAAAATTTTATGAGAGATTGAGTTTGTAATGTATTTAAGTAGCAATAGATTGAACATAGGAAGTTATGAATTTAACCTTAAAAAGAGGTGTTTATGAATATTAAATTTGGTACTAAATTGAAATCCATAAATCTATAGCTGATAGTGTAAACAAATCACTATACTGTTAATTATTTGAGTAAATCATTCCTACACTGACGGTGTATACACTATCATCGTTATATTCATGACATGTGTGCAAAAGTTAAATTTTAAATTCAAATTTTGTATAGTTGTCATTCATCTAACGCTGATAGTGTATACAATGTTAATGTAGAAAAGATTAATCATGATTATTTATGTACAAAAAGTTAATCCATATTATAATATCTTCTCAATTATAAGCACGTAATAGTATATTTTTATCAATAAGCAATTAAATACTTTTCTTGCAAATGTTTTATGTGCTTAATAGTTACTATTTAAATGATATAATCCCTACAAAGTTGATGGTCTTAAAATTTTGTCTCTCTTTTCTTTTATTTTTTTTGGGTAAAATAGTTCTAAAGTTCTTTACAACAAAATGTAAATACAAATTACTAAATAATGGAAATATTCTATTAACATAGATTCATGCATGAACATATATATGTATGGATTGCTATTTTTTAGAGTTTTTATAGAAAAATATGTTATAGCAATTTAATGTATGTGAAGTAAAAAAGTAATTTGAAAATGTGCTTATGCAAAACAATTAGTTTCTTTTGTATGAAATGTATAACTTTCCTTTTATGTTTTATGTTTTTCCTTTTTTCAAAGAGCATCAAAGGTTCGATGTTCTTTTACCTCTTTCAATTGGAAATTTTCGTATCTCATGCTTTTGCTTATTTCACAATTAAAAGGAAAAGAGCAAATGGCAAGTGAAGGGTCTTTTTCTCAATACATTTCACTTCTCACTAAAACCATCCATCGAGTACATTCAGGTGCATGAACAATATCAAATTCCCATGGCTAAATGGAATGTACAGTGTTATATTTTTTCCTCCTCTTAGCTTGTCCAAAAATGTTTTAGTGTTCTCTTTCAGTTGAGTTGCTGTAGTACCATTTTCAATTTCTAAGGCTAATTAATGACACGCTTAATTATATCTTTGCAACTGAAAAGCAAAATAAAGAAGGCAATTGATTATAGTTTTCCTTTTCATTTATTCATTTAACTACCATTGTTAATACGTCCTGATATTTATTTTTTTCTGAAAAAATTATTATAATTTTGAAATATATGATTTAGTTGTCTTTTTTGTTTTTCCAACTACTTTCCAGTCTCACACATGCACAAAAAATGAAATTTTAATTGTTTTTAAAATATATAAAAAATTAATTATTTTTCAAAATTTTATAATCCCCGTGCATAGCACCACCGATTATAAAGCTCGTACTACATTACACGTAAAAGTAGTATCTTTTCAAAAAGAACTTTCTAAATTGTCTTCCATCCAAACACCTTCATTATTGAATGCCTCCAACTCAAATGGAATTTTTCCCAAATTTATGGTAAGAGTTTAAAGAACAACGAAATATAATAGCAAAATTATAGGAACAGTTAGTTCTTTCTTAGAATATGGAGTCTAGAATGATTCAAAGCAGGATGTACCGCATAATTCCCTCTAATTGGAGTTTAGATCCAAGGCCACCTCCATATTAGGAGAAAACAGCCAATAAATGCAAGCCAGCTAAACCGAAAGCCGTCTGGGCCCGCTACTATTAATTTACAATCAGACGTGTCAATAATCGGAGGCCCGATGCACACTTGGCATCACAAGATCGTTCTAAAGCATATTTCTCGGTATCGCTGAATTGTACGGCTGAAGATCTTGCAGCCCATTTTGGCATCTTTCCTGTCGAGAGACGCCGACAATATCTCGCGAAATTATGCCGGCTCGTTTTATATTAATTATATATCGATTTTTGCTTTTAATTCTTGTTGTGATAACTTATCACTCTTAGGGTCTGTTTGATAACATAAAAAAGTGCTGAATCTGAATTGTTTCAAACATTCAGATGTTTTGAGTGTTTGATAAATGAAAATCAATTTGCTGAACTTGTTAAGCAGTGTTGAACCTGTGTGTATTTTTTTCAGCACAAGAATCCTAACTGAATGCTTAATTCTGATAAGAATCAATAGAATTACTTCAACTACCTTATCTTATCTACCAAATCTACCCTTGTTTGTTAATTATGTTCAAAATTCTTATTTAATTAAATAACCTAATATTCTCTATCTAACTATTTTTAGTTTCTCTTTCTCCCTTTTTAATGACTTTCAGATCTTCTCCATACTCCTCATATAATATATTTCATCTTTTATATTAATTTGATTTAAAAATAAATATTGTCATTTTCATACATAACAAATTTAAACTAATTAAATCATAGATTTTATTTTATTTTTGAATGAAAGGATATAAGGGCAAAATTGTCAAATTAAACTTATTAAGCATTCAGCTATAAATATTTATCAAACAATATAAATAGGTTTAGCATTAAAATTCAGACATTCATATATTTTTTTCAGTGCTTAAAATTCAGCAAATTAATTGTTTCAGTATTCAGATTTCAGAATTCAGACTTCAGAATTCAGATTCAGTTTTATCAAACGGAACCTTAGAACAATTACAATTTCGCATCATAATACAATACAAGGGAGTATTCAGGAAATGGGAATGAGAGTCAGTAATGGATATTAAAGTTAATTTTTACTTAAAATTCAACCTTGTTTAGATTGCCATTTTTCTTTAAAACAAATTTATGTTTGTTGTGAACAAATTTTTCAATCATTTTTTTACTTCACACATATCAAATCTTTATAATATATTTTTCTATAAAAATTTTAAAAAATAGTAATTCAAACAACGTACTCTTAACATTTCTTTTTTCCATTTCAGTGTTAGAATCTTTCCAAGCAAAACATATGTTCTTTCTAGAGTTGAATGGAATCAAATACTAAGACATTTCACAAGTGGACCAAAATTAGGATACAGTCACCGGTAGTTTCCTAGACATATATCATCATGTTGTAGCGATTATACGACTAAGTGGTTAGTTGAAATAGGATCTCTCAATACAAACAATCAAAACGTAACATAACATCATCCGTTGTTTAACATGTCTATAATAGAGGTTATATTTGCTTGAAGCAAGAAAGAAAATTATCCCTCTCAACAAACAATTCTCTTCCACCAAGTGGCATATTTATACATCAAAAGTATACCATCCATTGTTAAGCTGGTGTGTAGGACAAGAAACCATGAAGAGTTGTAAAATTTGAAAATTATGAATTTCTTGACTATACCTGAATATCAATTCCCAAGAAAGATACACATTATTAGTTTTGTAGTTATTTGCCATCAAATTTGGACATGGAAGGGGCAAAATGAGAATAGAAACAAAAGAACGTAAAGCCAAGATGAAGATGATTTTATTACTTCTTGACCTTTTTTAACTGAAGTTAGAAATTCGGTTTTTATAAATCTAATTCCAGAAGAAACCTCAAAAGCCGGCAACTCTTGAAGTCCTCCCAGGGATTTATAAACCCAAACCCAACCCCCCCCCCCAGAACCGATGTGGGATGGCAACCCCACAAGGGCAAGCCAATAAGGCCGCTGCTACTAATAAATAAAGACCCCTCACGACACTCAGATGTGTTGAAATTAGCTCATGATGTGAAAACAAGTTATTGATGATATTCAGCAAGTTTACAAGAGTAGGTTTACTTTTACAAATAGAAGAGAAAATTAACTCATAAAATTGAACCTAATTATGCGAGAATTATGTCTCCAACTTTTGATGTGATATAAATTTTGGTCATAGAGGTCGACAATAAAAGAAAAGTATGAGGGGCGGCGTTAATTTACCAATAAATGATCTTCATTTGTTAAGTTTTACAAGAAATCTGCAATTCAAACCAAATCTCTATTTCATGCCTTTTGATGAAAGTTGATGTATATAAAGACTACAACGAGGTTAGTCACAATTAGTCCAATCACTTTTAGAGCATAATAACTATCGAAATTAATCAAAGACAATGACTTTGCAATGATCCAATCTGATGCACCATTTCCACTTTGAAGCTCCAATCAGAGTGGAAATTTAATGCCCAACTCAATGGTGGTATCAAATCTGAAAAGAATGTTGGGCCGAGGATTTAGAGATTGACTACCACAACTTTAACCGTACATTCTTAAATGTCATTCTAAGGATAGCTTTCTTATTTTTAATAGACTTTCCGCATACAATTTTTTTTTTAATGCTAGTAGATTTAGATTTGGTACGTAACATAAATTTAAATTTGAAATTCAAATCACGTATATGCATGCTACATTCAAAGTTGTTAGTATAAAAAAATCATCACACTATCAGTATATAAAATATTAACTCTTTGTCTTATTGTAAACCTTATATATTTTTTTTAACAATGTCAAGCACATTTTCTTTGCTTTGTTTAGAAAAAGATTAGGATCCCTTCATCTATTTTTGAAAACTTCATGTACTTAGGATGCAACATTCTTGATTTTATATCTTGTGAACATGAGCTTTCTTATTTCCCCCCCCCCCCTAATATGTGTCATGTGTGGTTGAGAATTTATTAAACTTTTGGTCATACATATTTTTTT